CCCGCCCGGCCTTCGCGGGGAGGGGGCGCGCTGGCTCCGCAGTGAGTACCCCAGACACGTGGCTTCGGCCGGCGGGGCGGAGGACGAGCCTGGGGGCGGGGGGGGGGGCTGGATGGGAGGCCCCGAACGAAGCGCCGGGCCCCCAGAGGCGCCCCCACTCCCCCCGGGCCGGCCCCAGTAACGGTCGAGGTTGAAAAAGCCCTTTAATCATCCCTCGCCTAATACCCTTGACTTTACAGAAGGGGGAACAGGCCCCCGGAATTGGGGTACTTTTCCTAAAGTCACAAAGCTGAGTCCGATCCGCACCTCGGGACCCCCCCCCCCCCCCCCCATCCGCCGGAGGAATCTTCCCGGTGGGTCCTCGCCTTCCCCTTCCAGCCTCCGGCCGCCCGGTGCGGGAGGCGGGCCTGGTGGTGCACGGCCCCATTTTAAGGACGCAGCGGCCCCCGGGTTCAGTCCCGGGTCTGTCTTTTCGGGGGGAGACTGTCACCCGTGCGCAGGCGGGGGAGGGGCTGTGAGGGTGCAGGAGGGGCTGCAGTGGGTCCCTTGGCTTCCTGGGTTCACCTCTGAGCCCAGCCTCACCCAGAGCCCTCGGCGGGATGCCACGCCAGTGTTTTTCCTCCAGTGGACACAAAGCACCATGTAGGTGTGGGAGCACCCGGGGGACTTGGGGATGAGTCAGAGGAGCGACCCCCGCCCCTCAACACACACACACACACACACCCCTCCAGCTCAGACCACCGCCAGGCTAAGCTGTGCTCATTAGATTGGACACGACCCACAATGTGGGGGCCAGGAAAGGGGGTGGGGACGTCTGAGCTGGGCTTCCAACGGTGCAAAGGAGTTTGCCTTAAAATATATATACATATATATTGATTTCAGAGAGGAAGGGAGAGGGAGAGAGAAACATCAATGATGGCAGAGCATCACTGATTGGCTGCCTCCTGCACGCCCCACACTGGGGATGGAGCCCCCAACCCGGGCATGTGCCCTGAACCAGGAATTGCACCAGGACCTCCTGGTTCGGAGATCTGAGATCTGAGCCACGCCAGCCAGCCAGGCAGGAGCTTGCCTTTTGCATATGGAGGTGGAGGAGCTTTCTACATTTTTTTCTGCAGGAAACTGGCAGGTGGCTTTTGATGCAGAGGATCCCGGTGGCAAGGGAGCGGATGAGGCAGCCTTGTTGTCTCTAGGATTTTGCTTCCTGTCCTGTGAAGTCAGTTCAGTGGGACCCCTGAGACAGACAGACAGACAGACCTGGCCAGGCGTGAGGGGGGTTCCCCCAGGGCCTGAAGGACAGGCTGGATGTGAGGGGAGAGGACGGGAGGAAAAGCCTTGCCCTGTTGGAGGGAACGGGCACGTTTGAAGGCCAGAGTTTGAACGAGCCAGTTTGGAGCCGCTGCCTTCGTGTTGAGGCCTCCCCGTGTTGGGGCGGCTGGTGGTGACGCCGGCCTCCCACAATTAGCCTGCTGGCTGCAGTTAAATGAGCACGAGTCGTGGGCTGCCTTAGTCATGCCTTTCTCTTCATCCCCATTTTACAGAAGAGGAAGTAGAGGCTCAGAGGTTGGAAAGCTCGCCCGGGGATACACAGCGGGAAGAAGGGGACACCGGAACGTTCCTGTGAAAACGGGGGGGCGGGGGGGGGTAGGACCAGGGGGGCTGTGCTTAGGGCTTTGTGGAAGTGAACGTCTCAGTCCAGGGTCACTTTGTATGCACTCGGGGAGCTCCTGCTACCCCTCCTCAAACCCTTCTGCCCCACCCCCTGCCTAATCTGCCTGCCTATTGGCTGGGCTCTACCCCTGGGTCTAGGGCAGCTGAGGCCTGTGGAGGGTAGGAGGGAGGAAGGTAGTTGGTTGGCAGCCGGAGAAAAGCTGGAGATGGCCCTGAATTTGCCCTGGGAGACTACATCTCTCTTTTGGGGAGTCCAGGGCCCCAGTTCAACTTTCCTGCCCTGTGCTCCCACCCCGGGCTCTTCAGGGCTCATCAGGGCTCAGGGCCTTTTTGGTCTGGCTGTTCCCATCCTCAGACACAGGCCAGTGGACTGGAAAGATGGCCAAGCACATGGTTAGGATCTGAGCTCCTCTATGGCCGAGTTGCTGGGCCTGTCCCTCCAGCCTCAGTTCCTACTTCTGTAAAATTGAGGGCAATTGAAAGGACAGCCGATAAGAGCTGCCATAATAACTGTTACTGTTCTCCTTTACCCGTAGCACACAACCCCAAGACTGCCCTTGACCACCTTCAGCCAAGCTATGTATGACAGAGGCCCCCCTGGCCTACTGTCTCCAGCGCTGCCTCTTGCCTCCTCAGTCCTGATGCTGCTCATGAGCTGCCTGTGGCTGGTGGGGGCCGGTCCCAGCCTGGCCCTGGCCCCAGAGCTGCTGCTGGACCCCTGGCAGGGTGAGGGCTGGCTGCCTGGGCTTGGAGGGGGCAGGAGACAGGCTGTAGGGCCCAAGACGACTTGGTGGGAGCGGCATGCCCCCGGGAGGGGCAGCCTTGGACGGAGCATGCCCACCTCACCCACAGCCAAGGAGGGCAGCAGAGCCAGCAGGGGGTGGGAGCCTGTGAGTAGGAATTCTTTTCAGAAGTTTCCCGTTACTGACATCTTTCTCTTGAAATAAGAACTAATGCTTTCACTTAAGCACGAGGGTGGGAGCTTGAGTGACCCCAGCTCCCAATAATAACAGCAGCTTCCATTTACAGTTGAAGAATCTAAGTGATGGCCACAGGTTAAGTGACTCATCAGGGTTGATTGCTCTTGAGAAGCCTGAGGGGTGGGTCTGGCTTGTTCTGTTCATTGCAGCGGGGCAGCGGCCATTGTGTTTGGAAGCCGTTGGTTCCCTCCACGAGTGACTGCTGGCAGCGGGCCAATGTTGGCTCCTGGGGAGGCGAGGCTGGCTTAGGGGGTGGCCCTGGCAGAGGGCAATTCCCAACCTGGCCACCTGGGACAGCCTTGGGGGTGGGGGCCACTAACCTGGCACATAAGCCCCTTCTCTCCCCCAGCACACCGGCTGCTGACCCATGCTCTGGGTCACACGGCCCTACCCAGCCTGCTCCTGAGTCTGCTGCTCCTGCCCGTGCTGGGCTGGCGGCAGGAGTACCACCTGGGCACGCTGCGGTTCCTGCACGCCTCCACCCTACTCGCCCTGGCTGCCGGGCTAATGGCGGTGCTGCTGGCAGGCCTTGGGGTGTCCGCGGCAGCTGGTGGCTGCGGGTACATGCCCGTCCACCTGGCCATGCTATCAGGGCAGGGGTACCACCCTAGAGGGCTCCATGGGGCGGTGCCACCGTGGCTGTTGCCATGGTTGCTGCTTGCCCTGACACCACTGCTCACCTCCGAGCCACCCTTCCTGCAGCTCTTCTGCGGCCTCCTGGCTGGCCTGGCCTGTATCCTTTGCCCAGACGCTGGGCCTGTGTCGATGTGTGGGTTGTGGCTGGGCTCCCAGGGTACGTGGGAATTGGCACAAGTGGGTCAGGCCTAACAATGCCGGAAAGCCGGGCACACGTTCCAGGAGCATCTCCGAGTCCTCTAGCCAGGCTCCGGGCTGTGGCCAGCCGGAGGTGCCAACTACACTTCACTGGGGAACTGAGGAGGGCCGAGGGGACCCAAGGAGGCCCCTAACCTGGACCTTTCCAGTGGAGGTGGCATCGAAGCTGAGACACAGGATGAGGGGTTCGGGTAAAGAGAAGTGAAAAAGGAGGCGAAGCACAGATGGTGCAAAGGCCAGGGTGAGAGTGAGCTGGGCCCTCTGGGCTTTAAACACAGGCTTTTGCTTCAAGATACTTAGTGCCTGTTGGGAACACAGTGCAGTCGGAGAGAGGAGTGGGCACAGGCGACCTCCTATAGTTGTTTAGGATTAGGATTAGGCCTGCCAAGGCCTCGCTGAATCCTGGTTTGGGGAGCACGTGGGCCTGGCCAAGGGCGACAGGGGTTGTGTCCATGGTTCCAAGCTCACGCCTTGAGTCAGAGCCCTGAGCAGGTAGATAGGGCTCTGGGCCCGGCGTGGGGCAGCAGTGGATGAGACAGGTCTTTAGGGTGAGGCTCATCCAGCTCCACCTCTTACTGCAGTGGTTCTCAACCTTCTGGCCCTTTAAATACAGTTCCTCATGTTGTGACCCAACCACAAAATTATTTTCGTTGCTACTTCATCACTGTCATGTTGCTACTGTTATGAATCGTCATGTAAATATCTGATCTGCAGGATGGTCTTAGGCGACCCCTGTGAAAGGGTCGTTCGACCCCCAAAGGGGTCGCGACCCACAGGTTGAGAACCGCTGTCTTACTGGCTGAGTAGCTTCAGGCAGCCCCCTTTTCCTCCCTGAACTTCCACTGCTGACGGGGTGGCAGCATCCCAGGCCGGGCCACAGTGAGGAGACAAGAGCAGTGCCCATCGCGCACTTGGCACGGGGTCTGGCATGCAGTTGGGCTCCCTCCTGGCTGGCTGTGGTTTTCCTTGACCAGCCGCCCTGCCTGGGCAGACAGATGCAGCCGGGGCCTTCCAGTGGCTGGAGCCCTCTGAGCGGAGGCTGCGGGCGCTGCAGGGCTTCCTGTGCAGGGTCGTGGGGTGCTGGCCACTCCGGCTCCTTCCCGCCCCAGGCAGTGTGGCTGAGCTGCCTGTCACCCTTCCTGGAGTGAGGTGAGGGGGATGCCCAGGCCCCGGCCCTGGTGGCGGGAGCGGTGGCAGCGGCTGGCAGTCAAGCCCTCTCCTGTTTCTGCCCTTCCAGGCTTTCTACCCCTGGACCTCCGTACGCGGCCTCGTCTAGTCTCTGGTCTCACAGCGAAGGCTCAGGCCCACTCCCACCAGGCCTGGGGCCTGTGCAGCCGAACTGGGAGGGCTCCTCAGAGGCTGGCCTGGCCTGGCCTGGGCCCAGCTTTCCTCCCGGCTCCCCGCTGTGGGCAGCCCTCGATGAGCAGATGCTGCAGGAGGGGATCCAGGCCTCGCTCCTTGAGGGGCCAGCCCAGGTTCCCAGGAGCCCGCTCTGGCTGCCCAAGTCCTCCGTTTCCTCTCTACGGTAGGGCAGGGGGGGTCGGGGGGGGTCCCCTGGTGTGGGGGCTAGAGGTGGCCCTGACTGACACTCCCTGTCCCCTCCATCGCACAGGCTGCAGCAGCTGGAACGCATGGGCTTCCCCATGGAGCAGGCCGTGGTGGCGCTAGCAGCCACAGGTCGTGTGGAGGGTGCGGTGTCACTGCTGGTCAGCGGGGAGGTGGGCGCTGAGGCCCTGGTGACTCAGGGGAGGGGTGGGCTCGCCCACCCTGAGGGTCCTGGGCCCCCCTAGCATAGGCCGGCCCTCAGGTGACAAGAGTCCTTGCCCATGGCTGGTTACACGGAGTTCCAGCCCCAAGTACTAAGTCACGTGGGCGCAGGGAAGCCCCTCAGCGCCCTGCACTGTGTAGAATAAAAACCGGTTCTTTTCAACCTGGACTCCTTGGGGACAGTAGTTGTATCCGACTCTTCTGTGCTGGCATCAGGGGGTGAATGAATGAACGTGAACGAACAGCCAATTGCAGGAGAGCAGCTCCCTGATGTCCAGATGCAGCGTTACCGTCTCTGCACCACACAGCCTCTTCCTCCAGGAAGCTCTGTCCTCCACCTCGGTCTTGCTGGCTGGACCCACTGCTGCGGAGCATTCGTAATCACCTGTTTCCCAGCTAATTTCTACCCATCCGTGGTCTCAGCCGACACAGAGTCCTCCAGGAAGCCCTCCCTGATTACCCGGGAATACGATCCCTTCACTGTCCCAGCCCCCAGGGTACCCGCTGGACAGGCCCAATTCTGTGGGTCTCCTAGGCCCTGCCCAGAGCAGGCTGGGAGGCTGGGGGCTGTGCACTGCTGGGCCCCTTGAACAGGAAGCAAAGGTGGGGGTGCTGTGGGGGAGAAGCTTCCTCAGCTTTGAAGCGGCAGCTCCTCCCTCCTGGCCCCCCTCGGGCCTTGGCCTTCCCAGGGAGGGGAGGTGCAGAGCTAAGAGGGCCGGGGGTTGGGCTGGGGGAGGGGTAAGGCAGAGGGGTGCCTGGGAAGCTGGACTGTGAGGGGCGGTGCAGGGGCTACACGCCTGGAGCAGTCGGCACTGTGTACCTGGAGACTGACCGACCCTGCTGGGGGTCACCAGCTGGGGCCCAGAAACAGACTGGGAAGTCTGAGGGCCCGCCATCGCTTTCACTCCTCGGTTGTGAAAACAGGCTCAGAGCTGCTGGGTACCCAGGCTAGAGGCTGCCCTCAGGCTTGGCAGCTCCTTGCTCCCCAGGCCTCTCAGACGCCACAGCCATTGGACACCTGGCCGGCGGGTGGGGTGGCCTGAGCGCTGTTCTGCTCACCCCTTGCCCAGGTGATGGCCAGGGGAGCTTCAAACCTGCTTTGCAGGTGGGCAGTGAAGGCCACAGAAGAGAAACGAGACCCCTGGCCTTGCCCGCTGCCCCCCATAAAGCACACACTGAGGCCAGGCTGGTGGGGAACAGGCCAGGGCCTTTATTGGCCGGTAGCACCTATTTCCTGTGACGTCACAGGCTGTGGGAGCAGGTGGCTCCTCCCTTTCCATGTCCCTGCCCCCACCCCCCAACCTGGGACATAGGAGTAGCTTGGGCTCCGGGGCAGAACTGAGTCGAGGAGTCCACAGCATCCTGTCAGCTCAGGCAGCTTGACCTCAGGGTTGGGAACCCAGCACCAAAAACCAGAGAACCAGAGAAGAGGTTTGGGGTTTGATGGGGAGGAAGGGAGGCGACTGCCCTCCAAGTCCCTGCATGTGCTGAGGGCCAGGCAGAGCTTCAGCTCCCGCAGTGCCTGCAGGCCCGATGCCTGGGCAGCTGATGGGAAGACAAACCACGAACCTGAACCTGCCACCCGCTCCCTGCAGGCCTGCATCACCCCATTTCACAGAGGGAAACAGGCTCGGGGCCCCAAGCAAGGCCCCACCTCCCTCCTGGGCCACCTCTCCTCAGACCCTGTCCCTGCTGAGCCTCATACGGGGCAGCCATGCCTAGGGTGCCAGGACCTAGACCTGCTTACCCCAAAGGCCTAGGTGGCAGAGGGACCCTGAGGACGTTAATAAATATGGATGGGCGGTCCCCAGAGGCAGCTGGCCTGGTCCACCCGAGGGGCCACCACCGCCCTCAGCCTCTCTTGTTGCGGCTCCTGGGGGCCACGATCCGGTAGTTGGCGGTGTGTCCTCCCCTCTTGCCCCGAAGGAGGTTGGGGGTGCCCACGCCGGCAGGGCCTGCCCCTGACCCCTCTGGTTCTGCCGGAGGGAAGGAGAGAGGCAGGGTTAGTGAGGTCTATGTAGGGCACCCACCTCCCCTTGGCCCTCAGGGGGTGGGAGACTGGGCACCCAGCCAGGTGTACTCTGCCCTGGCATCCAGGAGGCAGAGCTGTAGGAAAAGGGGGTCTGCAAACTGGTTAGTGTCCCCCACCTCAAGGAGTTATCAGCCGCCAACCCAATGAGGGCATGCGGGCCTCTGGTTTTCTGTCAAGTGGGGATAAATGGACCCACCATGTTCCTGAAAGGCTTAGTCTGTAGTGAGTGCTCCATAAAAATGGTATTGTTTTTTCTTTTCTACATTTTGGGGTGAAGGTATGCTCTGAGTCATCCCCATTTCACAGCTGGGTAAACTAAGGCCGAAGGACAGACTCACTTTTCCTCTCTCTGATTAGGCCGCTTATGGCGGGGAAGGGTTTAGGAAGGCCAGGCTCTGCCACTGACCTACTCTGTGGCTCTGGGCAAACTGGGCCTCTGTCGGGGCCTCATTGGTCTCATCTCTAAAACCAGCGGGACTGTTCCAGTTGTACTCCGAGCCCGGCCAGCTCCTATAATTATTGAAGTCAGTTCCAATCAGGCTATGGTGAGATAGGCCCCCGCCTGGAGTAATTGGCATTCTTGCCACCTAAAAACCTACTCATCCTTCAAAACCCAGAGCATGACCCACCTCCTCTAGGAAGCCTTCTGTGACTATCATTCAGTCCCTCTCAAAGCTAACCGAGCAGGCCAGGCCGGTCGGGAGGACGGGCTGTTTTTCTAGGGGGAGAGCGGCGCTCAGAGAAAAGCCCAGGATGGAGGACTTGACTACGCCTCCCAAACCCGGTTCACAGGAGAGACACGGCCTGTGGCAGCACCAGCGTCCCCCGGAGGGCACTGCCTCATCATAACCGTTAAGCCCCTGGTGCTGTGCCCAGCCTCCCATGCACCTCTGGGCTGAGATCTGGGGACTCAGGCAAATAAACATGTCACAGTCAAGGGACAGTTCACGCCCTAAATCGGGGAGGACAGGAGGGAAGCAGGGCTCCAACGTCAGCCAAGGCCAAGTCCTGGTCCCACCACGTCCCGGTTATGTGGCCTTGGGCAGTCACAGACCTTGGAGCCTCCTCTGTAACTCGGGGGTCGCACTCCTGTTGTCACACCCTTAACGGCCTGAGTGCAAAGTGGCTTTCACAGTACGAGCTGGATAGCTGGATTACTTGGTCGTTGGGGCTGTGACCATGAATTAAATGATTAAGTTCAGGGCCTTGGCTTCCTCTGGAACCCCCCCGGCCCCCCCCGCCCCCAAGTGCCTGGTGGAGCAGGGGTGTCTGAACCTTTGCCGATGGAGCCCAAAGAGCCAGGGCGTTAGAGGACCGACCTTGGGTGGACCCCTGACCTTGCCACTGCTGCCCCTACGGCCCGAGGGAGACACGCGAGCCCTCGGAACCTCTGTCTTCATCTGTGAAATGGGCCTGGTGTCTACCGCCCACCTAGCAGGCTTGGTGTGAGGACTGGAGAGGATTGTAAATCCTCCAGCCCAGCGGTTACTATTGTTATTCTTGATTGTATCCTAAACGTGAGTCCCAGCTGGGTCTTTAGTTAGCACCGCTGTGCATGATGGGCCAACGGGGATGGTTTCATCTCCTCTTCCTCCTCTGCTCCCCTCCTCCCACACCACCCCTCCCAGGCCCACAACCAGGGCGGGCTCATGGGATCTCTGCTCTAGGCTCGTGGCCACAGAGAGTGGCCGTGGGCCTTCCTAAGTGACCAGCAGTTCCTCCCTGAGCTGCTGGAGACAGAGCTGGCTGAGGGAGGGCGGGGGATAGATCCCAGGCCACAATGAGTCCCTTGTGGCTCCTGCCCGAGGAGGTGGGGGGACCTGAGAAGGTGCTGAGGGCCTGGGATTCGGTCGTAGGTCCCTCCTCTGGGAGAGGAAGGAGGTCTGGGAGGTGGTCAGCTATGTTTCTAGGAGTCAGAAGAGCCATGTGGTCTGGTAAGAGGAGCTCTGGAAGCAGACCACACACACACCTTCCAACCTCTGGGCCTTCACCGTGACAAACCAGGACCCGGGGGGCGGGGGGCGGGGGGGTGGGGCTGCCCTTCCCACCTTCTCCTGCTGGCGCACTTGCTGGCACCTTCCCTGCCCTAACACCAGCCCCATCTTCCAGGAAGTGCCCCACCCGCACTGAGAAGTGACTGTTCTCACCCACGTCCTTGGTGCCCCTGGACCCCAGGGCCCTCGTCTCTATAGATACGAAGGGTCCCCTGCCCCTCAGTGGGAGCTCCCCAAGGCAGGTGTCCTCGGGGCCTGCTAAGTGCTGGCCCAGACCTGGCCTCCAGTAGGTGCACCCTACAGTTCTGTCGAATGAATGAGGCTCAGCCCTAGCCTTGGCCCACTTTGGCTTTGGGGGCGGGGGGGGACTCCCCCACTTGTAACGTAGATGGGAGGTAGGGCATGACGCCCAGACCCTGTGTGCACAGATGAGCCAGGACTGGGTGGTGAGATGGGGCCGCTTAGCAAGCAGGTGAGGGACGGTTTAGCCCGGAGGGGAGCTAATCCTCGTCTCTCCAGGGCCAGCCACAGACTGCACTGCAATGGGGGAGACTCCTTAGCGGACAAACCAGGCCCAGGAGAGGTAACACCCACCTGGTGTCTAACCTTTTGTGCTTCCCCAACGGCCTTCAAGGACCTTCTCAAACTGGGCCCTGCCACAGCATTCAACCCTCAGCAATCTCAGGGAACGTCCCTTCAGGCCCTCTGGCTTCTTGGCTGTTGCCCATGTTATTCCTCTGCCTCCTCACTTTCCCCTGAGCTTTGCCCTTCAGGGTTCCACTGAGCCAGTACCTCCTCCAGGGAGCCCTCCCTGAGACACCTTCCTCCTCCCCCACCCCCTACCCACAGCCTGGTCAGGGGCACTTCTGTGCTTTCACAGCTGCCTGTACTCACGCCCCCGTGTATTCCTCACCTTGGGTTTAACGGCCAGTTCCAGGGCTCCCGCTGCACCCCCACAGCCTAAGCTCCATGAGAACAGGACTACGTCTGTCTTATCTGTTGGAGCCTGTGCCAAGCTAGAAGCCGGGCACAGAGGAGGTGCTCGCTCCCTCAAGAACTAGTGACCCTAGCCTTCTCCGTGCCAGGCCCTGTCTGCCTGCTGGATGGAAGGACTCGAGAATGAGTGTCCATGGGCCTGGGTCCAGCACTGGGAGTCGCCTTCTGTGACCCCGGCCCTTCCCAGGCCCTTCCTAGAAGGGGCTGCCCCTGCCGGCCCACCCTGCCGTTACCTGGCCAGATGATGGCTTCCAGCAGGGTGACCCGTCTGGCCAGGAGCTCCAGCTGAGCCTGCTGCTGCAGGAAGCTCTGTAAGCTAGGAGCCTGATGGGAGATCGAGAAGAGCAGACGGTGCGAGTCCGGCCTCCGAGGGCGGGGCCGGGGGGCCGAGGGGGGTGTATGGGCCAGGCACCAGCCGGCTTCAAGGCAGGAGCCTGGGTGTGAGTCTCTGAGAGGGGACATGGCTAGCCTGGCTCCTCACGTGACCAGATGGATGATGGGTAGAGGATTGGTGGGTGAATTCCTGGGCTGAGATGAGGGCTTGACAGACCCCTACAGGGACCCTCAGGGGAGGTTAGGAGGACCAGAGGGAAAGGGAAGCTGTCACGGGGATATCTGAGGCCGGGAAGACCTGCCGGGAGGCCTCTGGGGGCTTTGGGTGAGGGAGGATCAGAATTGGTGGGTAGGATATTACCCAGAGGCCCCTGGGGCCTGAGTCTGGTTCTGTCACTCGCAGGCCCCTGCATTTCTGAGTCCAGCTCCATAACCTATTGTCCCTGTGGGCCTGGAGACTGGCTCTGTTACCCATGCTTTCTCTAGAGCTGAAGCCTGACTGAAGTCTGGATCCATTACCCATAATCCTCCTGCAGGCCTGGGCTCTGACTTTATTTCCCACAACTCCCTGCACTGTTGCAGCCTGGCTCTGTCACCCACAATCCCCTTCCTGCTGGTCTGGAGTTTGGCTTCATTGCGGATTTCTTCCAAACTCGCAATCTGTCACCTCTGGTGTCCCCTGCAGGCCTGGAAGCCACATTACCCACAATGCCAGGAGGCCCAAGTCTGACCACAGAGGTGAGGCCCAGGTTCCCCTGTGTCGGAGCGACCAGTCATGGAGGGGTCGGTGGGCTTGGCCTCTCCGGCCTCATGACTGGGCCCAGGCAGCTCCACCCTGGAGGGCCTGGGCAAGGCTGGTGGGCAGGGGCTGGGCTGTCTGTCCGTCTGTCTCTACTCACCATAGAGCCCAATCATTGTTTCCAAGATTAAAACCCTCTCAGCTAAAATCTTCAAAGCCTCGCGTAGTTGGTGCAACCCCTCCCCCTGCGGAGGAAAGAGACAGATGCAGCCGTGAAGGGGGCAGGGGAAGGGGCCCTGCAAAGCCTGCTGGTGGCCCATGCCCCGCCCTGGTCATGCACCTGCAGCCGGCACCCCTGCCACAGCCCAGGGCCCACGGACAGCCGGGACAAGGCCAGGAAAGGACGGGAGGGGGCAGAGCAGGCAGAAGCAGCCCTCCCGGTGAGTCCTGGTGGATCCCAGCTGGCTGCTGTCTCCCCACACCCTTGCAGGTCCTGATGCACTGGGGGCGAGGGGATGCCAGTCCACAGGGGCTGCGCTGCTGACCAGAGCCTGCCATGGAACCTGCCACAGAATGTGCCCTGGAGGTGGCCACAGAGCCCCGCTGCGCCATCTCTAATATTCTTTATACCGACACACTTTCTGTCTATATCCATCAGTGGGATCAGGCTACTTACCAATATTCTTTCCATTCAAATGAATATGTACAAGTACAATTAGCACATGTTCAAGTGGCACTGCTATTGGAAAGCTGTTTAAAATGCTGGCAAAGCCCTAACCGGTTTGGCTCAGTGGATAGAGCATCGGCCTGCGGACTGAAAGGTCCCAGGTTCGATTCCGGTCAAGGGCATGTACCTTGGTTGCGGGCACATCCCCAAAGGGAGGTGTGCAGGAGGCAGCTGATCGATGTTTCTCTCTCATCGATGTTTCTAACTCTCTATCCCTCTCCCTTCCTCTCTGTAAAAAATCAATAAAATATATATTTTTTAAAATGCTGGCAAAGCTGAGGTTCTGGCCCTGGCGCCCTCTCCCCAGTCCCTTCCCATTTTGGGCTCATCCCTCCCAGGCTCCGACTGCTACACGCCTGTATTCTGCAGGCCCAAGAGCCCAGCCCTCAGCCCCACCCTCTCTTCTAAACAGCTCCTCTAGCGCCCAGGCCCAGGGATGTGGCAGCACCAGGCCCCAAAAGCTATCCTCCTCCCAGGCCTCCCTGATCTGGGGGCTCCCTACTGCCAAGCAATGCCAGCTGCTGCCCAGGGCTCGGGGCAGAGACCACCAGCTGGCACTCACTGTCACTTGCTACCAATCTGTCTGTCCTTTCCTTCCACAGCATAGGGCCCAAACTCACCCTCCCTCCCTCCTTTCCTAGTCCAGACTTAGCTATCTGCGATGTAGATATCTCAATTCCAACAGAGCCCCAGATGGCAAATATTTTTATTGATTTCAGAGAGGAAGGGAGAGGGAGAGAGCGATAGAAACATCAGTGATGAGAGAATCATTGATCAGCTGCCTCCTGTACGCCCCTGGGGATTGAGCCCGTGACCCAGGCCTGTACCCTTGACCGGAATCGAACTAAGGACCCTTCAGTCCGCAGGCTGACGCTCTATCCACTGAGCCAAACCGGCGAGGGCTAGCTCACTGTGGTCTAGCCCACTGTGACTGTTAGGATCCAGGTGTCCTGTCCACATCACATGGATTGAGCTTCCCTCGGGCCACTGGATGGCTATTGCAGCCTGGGGGGTCACAGGGTCACCACAGGCTGTACACCAAAGTAATCTCTCTTCAAGTATTACGGGAGGAGGATCTAAAAGTGGATGACCTTCAAAAATTATGTTAAACTATATCCCGCATGGACAGGGGGACAAGCGGACATCATGAGCCTCCTGCTGAGACGCAGTCAGAGGGCACCACATCCTTCCTTAGTGCTCCTGCCAGGAGCATCTAACCTGCCTCTCATCACCAGGAACCAACCAGGCAAATCCACATAGTGGAACATTCACCAAAAGGCAGAGTCAAGAGAAGAAAAAGGGGCAGAGGGCCCGTCCTAGACTAAAAGAGATTACAGATGCCTGGCCAGTGTGGCTCAGTGGTTGAGCATTGACCTCTGAACCAGGAGGTCATGGTTCGATTCCCAGTCAGGGCATATACCTGGGTTGCCGGCTCAATCCCCAGTGTGGGGCGTGCACGAGGCAGCCGATCCATGATTCTTTCTCATAATTGTTGTTTCTCTCTCTCTCTCCCTCTCCCTTCCTCTCTGAAATCAATAAAAATGTATTTTTTTTTAAAGAGACTATAGGTTGCTAAAAAAAAAAAAAAAAAAAAGACTAGAGGTACAACCAAATGTGATGTATGAATCTTGATTAGAAGTTAAAAAAAAACAGCTATAAAAGGCATTTTGGGTACCACTGATAAAGGTTGTATATGTTATATATTAAGTGGCATCATTGCGCTGGATTCCTGTCAGCTTTCTTAGGTGTGACAGCGGTATTGTGGCTCTTTGGGAGAATGTCCATAGTCTTTTGAGATGCACAATGATGTGTTAAGGGAGATGTGGATAAAGCATGAAACTTGCTTTCAATGGATTAGAAAAAAGGTCTGTAAATATATAAAGAGAGAAAGATAGAGCAAATGTGGCAAAATACGAAGGGGAGAATAATATTCATTGTAACCAACATTTCAGCGCATTTGAAAGTTTTTAAAATAAAAATTTTGGAAAATGTAAAAAAAAAAAAAAAAGATTCTGCTATTTGGATCCCTCCCTAGATGGGGGGCCTGCTGTTTGCACTGACGACACCCCAGTCCCCCCGCCCCCCGGCCGCCCCAGCCTGGCCTGAGCGCCAGGGCCTGTTGAACGCCCCCACTTGGCCATAATAGACGTCTCCCACTTTCCATGGACAAAACCCAGCGGGCCCCTTCTCCTGGCTCTCCTTGACTATTGTGCGTCTCCCTTAACTTCTCGCTCCCCCTCGCAGCCAAACTAGCACCCAAACGTCGCTTAGCTCCAGTGACATCTGTCCACCCTCACTGTCCCCATTCCCAGTTCCAGCCCCCAGTCTCTTGCCATGATGACCACGACATCTTTCTACCTACAGCCTTCCACCTCATCTTTCTGCTTTTCCCATTCATTCTCCACAGGGTCACAGAGGCACCTTTGACCACATCAGTTTCTGCTCATACTATTTCAATGACCCCCCACTGCTCACAGAACAAAGTTCAAATTCCTCAATATGGTCTCCTAAGTCTTGACCTCTGTCCTCCATACTCTGCTACTCCAAGTGCAAACACACAGCGCCCTGCTCCTCTGTCTCAACACCCTTTGCCTGGTTAATGTATCTTTCAGGCCCCCGCACGTTCTCCACCAGGAAGATGCTAAGTCCACGCCCCCCCCTCCCCCCATCACAACTGAGCTCCCTTGTCCGGTTGCTGCTGGTTACTAGTCTGTCTCCCCTCCTCCCCCCCGCCTCCCGGTGACCACCGTGAGGGTGGGGCCAGTGTCCAAATTGCATCTGTGTCCTGGGGCCTGGCGCCCACCGAGGAGGTGCTTGGGGGAATGTTAGCTGGTTCCCCCCAAGTCCTGGGAGCTGAAAAAGCCTGGGCTTGGCCGGCCCACCTCAGTCACTCCCTAGCGGTGCTTGCAGTGTGTGTATATGGCCACTGGATGTCACTGCTGAGCTACAGCGGGGCCAGGGGCTCCGAAGTGCGGTTGGTCGAGTGTGGATAGGAGTCCCCAGGGTCCTTCCCCACACGACCTCATTCCCACCTGCTCCCAACAGAACAGCTCCCCAGCCTCCAAAGCCTCATGCAGCCCCAGCCCAGCAGGCCCCTCCCAGGTAGGCAGCAAGCAGGCGCAGAGGTGCAGGAGGGGGAGGGGGAGGCAGGTGGATGGGCAGGGGCCCTGCTACCTCTTGGGGCCCCTCCCACAGGTGGTTCTGAGTTCGAGGCCTGATGTGGGATCGTTCAGGCATCTGTTCTCCGGCTGGGGTCCCCATGCAGGGACGGGGCTGCTGAGCCTAATTCAGGCTTCACCTCGCTCTCCCGCCTTTCCCTTGGGAGGGGCCCGCGAAGGGGCTGAGGAGAGGCACAGGGCTGGGCTCACACGGGTGTGCTTAAGAGGCTGTGGAGCCACCCGGGGTGGGGGTGGGGGGTGGTGTGGGAGAGGTGGGGTGGCAGTGAGGAGCTGGGAGAGGCTTGCCAGAAAGGTAGCAGGACCCCAGAAGTCGGGGAAAGACATGGGGCTGGACTCGTGCAGGGTGGGGACTCCCACGGCTGTATCCATCACTGACCCCGCAATCAGGAGCAGAGAGGGCAAGGCAGGCGCTGGGTGCTTCCCGTGTCCTCACCAGCCAGTGCCCGCCAGGAAGCAGGACTTCCCAGCCAGACTGCACCCGGGATGGGGGCGGGGGAGAGGGAGGCGCAGGACCAGCCTCCAAAAGAGCTTCCCAGTTGTCTCTCCCGTAGGGGTGCCTGCCCCTATCCTGTCCATTCTCCAAATGTCGCCGATGTCAGCGACGCTGTCCACGTCCCTGCATTTAGGGGCTTTTGGTCCTCTCCCAGTGTGTCGCTTGGGTAGGTAGATTTACAATCTCCGATGACTGTGACGGTTTCTAGGACCCCACATGTGGTTTCTAGGTGCCCTTTCTCTTTTATTCTGTCTCCTGTGTACGTGACAGTTTCTAGGTCCCCCTCCCCACTCTTTGTGGGCTTCCTTTGTGCAGGGTGCTCTCTAGATCCCCTCATCTCACTTTCTATGGTTCTCCTGTGCCTGGAACAGTCTCTAGGTGTCTCCTCCCCTTCCTCCTGGGTCTCCTATGTATGCGATGGTGTCTAGGACTTCGTGTTAATTATGGGTCTTTTGGGCACAGTGGAGTCTGTGACCTCATTTACCATCTATATTATATGCATGACAGTTTCTAGGCTGCTCTTCCCACACTCTGTGAATTTCCTCCGTGTATGATGGTGTCTAGGTGCCCTGTACCTCTTACCAAGGGCTCCTGTACCTCAGCATGTCTAGCCTCCCTGCCTATATAGGTTCCATGGCTTTCCTAAGGCCCCCATCCCATTCTTCACACTTCCCTTTCTTCTGTGGACAGGGGAGCAGAAGCCAGAGCCCTGGCTAGGGGAGGGCCATGGAGGCAGGGGATGCAGTCTGGACTGGGTCAGCCCACACTGCCAGGAGGAACAGGCAGGGCCACCCTGGCCTGGAAAGGCCGCAGAGGGAAGGCGGAGGCAGGGACGTGAAGGCAGAGACAGAGAGCGTGGGGTCTGCTGATGAGGCCGGCCCTGCCCCGTTGGGAGGGACAGGAGCAGGGAGGGGGCTAGGCCTGAGAACGGTCAAGGCTCCTCCCTGGGAGACCAGGTTGCAGTGGGGATTTGGCGGGGGGCCCCCACTCCAGAATGACCTCCTGAGTGTCCAGGGCAGGCGGGGGCAGCCGTGCAGGCCCTGAGCTTACCCAATGGCTCTTCTCACCGGGGTCTCCTTTGGGGCCAGGTTCTCCCTGCAAGGAGAAATAGAGGTAGAAGCACCCGAGCCGGTTTGGCTCAGTGGATAGAGCGTCAGCCCTTGGACTGAAGGGTCTCAGGTTCGATTCCAGTCAAAGGCAGGTACCCTGGATGCAGATTCCCCAGCCCTGGTCGGGGTGTGTGCAGGAGGCAACCAATCGATGTGTCTCTCTCACATCGATGTATCTCTCTGTCTCTCCCTCTCCCTTCCACTTGCTCTAAAAATCAATGGAAAAATATCCTCGGGTGAGGATTAACAAAAAAAAAAGAAAAGAAATAGAGATAGAAGCAATGAGAGAGGAAAGGAGAGAGGGAGGGAGGGCAGAAGGAAAGAAGGGAAAGAGAGAGACATATTGAGGGAGGCAGAGAGACTGAGAGAGGCAGAGACAGAAGGTAGCTTGTATTGGACTAACACTAGATAAAATGCAGAGAACAACTGTTTGAAGACAATGGAAAGTGATGAAGAGCAGCCAGAAACCGGAGGATATCTGGCCTTTGAAAGAAGGAAACTGCATGGGTGACATCCATATATTTATAGCTTTTCCTCTGAAGGGTATACCCCAGCCCCACTCAGTCCCGCAAACAGCTCAAGCAGAAAGCTTTCGTTTTATTGGCCTGAGGAGTCAGAGGTCAAAACTGATAGAACTGCAAGGAGACACAGGCCAGTCCGCTATTGTAGTCGGAGGCGTTAACACTCTGTCAGGAATGAACAGGTCCAGCCGGCAAAACATCAGTAAGGACCTCGCTGAATGCAACAATGCCATCACTCAACTGGAGATAATTGACATCTATAGATCCCTTCATCCCACAACAGCAGGATACACATTGTTCTCCAGCTCACATGGAGCATTCACCAAGACAGACCACATAAAAATAGACCCAACACGTTGAAAAGAACACAGACCATACCATGTTTGTGTTCAGACCACAGTGGCATTAAACTAGGAACCAATAATGAAAAGATAACTGGAAAAATCCAAAACAGACTTGGGGGTTAAACAATGCATGTCTCCATAACACATGGGTCAAAGAAGAAATTTTAAGAGACATTTTAAAATATTTTGAACTAAATGAAAATAAAAAGACAGCTTATCAAAAAATTGGGAAGGCCGTGAAAACAGTGCTGAGAGGGAAATGTATAGCATTGAACACATGTTAGAACAGCGGTTCTCAACCTGTGGGTCGCGACCCCTTTGGGGGTCGAACGACCCTTTCACAGGGGTCGCCTAAATACATCCTGCATATCAGATATTTCCATGACGATTCATAACAGTAGCAACATTACAGTTATGAAGTAGCAACGAAAATAATTTTATGGTTGGGTCACAACATGAGGAACTGTATTAAAGGGTCGCGGCATTAGGAAGGTTGAGAACCACTGTGTTAGAAGGAAGAATGACCTAAAACCAATGACCTAAGCTCCCACCTTAGGAAAGTGGGAAAAGAAAAGCAAATTAAATCCAAAGTAAGCAAAAGAAAAGGAATCGGAAAAATTAGAGGAGAAATCAATGAAACGGATGCCTGTCGGTCGGTATACTTCTGTCAACAGCCATCGAATGTACAACACTGAGAGGGAACCCTAATGTAAACTATGGACTTGGGGTGGTAAATGACATGTCAACGTGGGTTCATCAGTTGTACTAAAGGTACCACTTTGGTGCGAGATGTCAGCAGTGGGGGAGGGTGTGCATGTGTGACAGGGAGTGTATGGGACCTTTTTGTACTTTTTGCTTAATTTTGCTGCGAATCCAAAAGAATGTTCTAAAAAAAGAATTTAATTAAACAAGACAACCAGCAAGAACAAAAAGCCCAGCACCTTACAGATTCAGGAATCTCCATGAACCCAAAGTAGGATAAACACAGAGAAAACCACACCCAACCACATCACAATCAATCGGTTGAAAACGAAGGGTAAAGCGAAAATCTTAAAAGCCAAAGAATAACGAGGAAGGACAGCCAATTTCTCATGAGAAATTGTAATGGTCTCTGTAAGTCAGAAGACCACTGGACATCTTTAAAGCGCTAAGAGGCGAGAAAACTGCCCACCTATCATTTTATAGCCAGTGAAAATATCTTTCAAAAGTTAAGGGAAAGACAGCTTTGCACAAAGGCAGGGAGGATCTGTTGTCTGAAGACCCACACAACAAGAGGCTCGAGCCTCTCCTGATTGGGACTGACTGGGTGCGAGGCCACGGCAGATGCAGCAGGGCCAGGATGAGCAGGAGCGGCAGGCAGGAGCGGCAGGCGGCGTTGGACTGCCAATTTGGCCCAATCCCTGCAGGCCACGCCAAGGGACTCCGCAGTGCACGAATCCGTGCACCGGGCCTCTAGTAAAATACTGAATGTGTATACACCTAACAACAAAGCTTAGAAACCCAGGAAGCAAAAATTGACCAAACTAAAGGGAGAAACAAACAAATCTACCATTATAGTTGGAGGGATAGAGAAATACAGGGAGTTGAAGAGATAGAGACACAGTGGGAGACAGAAACAGGGACAGAGCCTGGGAGATGGAGGTGGCTGGACCGTAAGAGGCTGACGAACCTGAGACAGGGAGGAAGGAGATGGAGTACCCCCTGGACCGGACAGGGAGGATCAGGGGCTCTGGCCACAGGGGCTGGAGCCAGAGCAGGGGTCTGTGCCCGTAGGATCCTGAAGGGGGAGCTGCAGGGGGGCAGCCTCACTCACCCGCTGTCCCATGGAGCCTTGGGGGCCTGGCTCTCCACGCAGTCCCTGTGTGGGAGGGAGGAGAGGTACGGAGTCAGCTGTTGGGGTGTCTGACCCAGAGCCCCCAAGCCTCCCCAGAATCCTCCATCCGGGACCCATTCAGTACTCACTCTCTCACCCTTTTCTCCTGGGTGGCCAGAGATTCCTTGGGGTCCAGTGGGGCCTGGGGGTCCCTGAGCAACAAGACAGGGCTTCAGCCTTGAGCTGGGGCAGGGTAGAGCGGGCGGGGACTTGGGGGGCAGAGGGGTTGGGGTGAAAGCTCCAGCTTGGCCTGGGCATCTGGGCCCTTCACACATCCAATGACAGATACACAGAGGGACGTGCACACAGCCCAGTGTTCACAACTCTGGCCCTGGAACCAGACAGTCCCCACCCTGATCTGGAAGTCGCCATGTGCTGGCCACAGCCCTAGGGAAGTTATCGCCACCTCTCTTGGCCTTAGGTAATAGCAACGGTGCTTCTTGTTACATGGGTTGAATGAGAAGCTTTAGGGAAAGTAGTGTGTCTACTCGGTGCTCCATAAATGCTCGAATGAAAGAATGAAAGGATGGATGGGTGGATGATGGATGGGTGAGTGGACAGATGGGAAGACGAGTGAGAGTACTTGGAGAAATACTCACTGTGTGGCCAGGACTCCCAGGGATGCCCATGGGACCAGGAGGTCCAGGGGGACCTGGAATAAGACAGGATATCCTAGAGACCAGCCTTTGGGTGGTGAATGCACAACACAATATACAGATGACGTATTACAGAATGACACCTGAACCCTATGTAATTTTATTAACCAATGTCACCCCAATAAATGCAATAAAAAAAAAAGACAGGATATCCTCAGGACCAATGCAGAGTACAATGGCAGGAAGTCTACCATCAACTCCCTCCTGACAGCCACAGCGCTAGTCACTAGTCGCTCTGACATCCCTCAACCCCACCCTGAACCCCAGGCCTGGACTCAACTTACCAATAGGCCCTGGGGGCCCAGGGGGCCCAGCCGGTCCCTGGGGCCAGTGGCTGCTGGTCTCAGTGAAGGTGTTAGACAGAAATGGGTCCCCTGCAGGAGGAAAGATGGGGAGTGGGCAGGGCTGGGTGGGTGGGGCTTGGGCAGAGAGGGGCAGGCCTGGAGGTCCCCTTTCTCCAGGGATGCCCACAGCTCTAAGCTGGCTATGACTGCCCTGTTGACATGGGGAGAGGGGGGTGGGGAGAGTATTGCTACACAGGCCCAGAAGGCAGAAAGACTGGTCTAACCCTGCACAGTCTAGCTGTGA